CACCTACTAAAATCATTTTTTTTACAAAAAGGATATATAAAAATTAACTTTTGAAACCAACAGGAGGGCTTAGGAACTTCAGGGGACCAATTTATGTAGATATGGTTAAATGTCTATGTAATTAATCATAAGCCCCAATGTAGTACAGATTAGTATGGGAATGTCGAGAATAACTTCACAGACTTGCAGAGCATAACTGTGTCACACTGGTATGACAGCCAGGTCATCTGGGAATATACACCAATGAAAGAGGTGACACATTTGCTAAAAGGGGATCAGCTACAAAATACTTTAGTCCAAAGCCGGTCGTAGGAGTACCAAAAGGCACTGTCCGTAATCGGATGAGAGTCTAGATCCAACATCCAACACAACATTTGCCGTGTATTTTCACACTGGAAAAGTACATGCCAAAACATGGAAACAGTACAGGCATAGAACCTGAAACAGTCAACAGTCAAACAGTCACCATGTGACTCCACAAATATATGGTACCCATATATTATCAGCTGTACAGGAAAATAGAGAATTGCAGAATTCTGTAACATCAATTATAGACATACAAAATGAGTGACAAATGCCTGTGTATGATGTAATCACAAACAGAATATATGTGTTATTTTGATACTTATTTTATACGTAAAAGAAAAATGTAATATCAAAAAATAAATATAAACTGTTTGTACAAATTATAAAAGAAAAGAAAATTGTTATCAATCGTAGAATGTAGACAGTATAAGTAGCTTGGTTATAAATTACAATTAAGAACAAGTGACAAGAAGCTCGAAGTAGCATGGACATCCACATCCACACAGGATACCAAAGGAGGAACCAAAGGAGAATAGTAATAATATTAGCGGGTAGCAGCTTAATAAAGGCATGCCAGATCCTACTAAAAGCGAAACATTTTTGAGGTCTGACCTATGTGGACAAGAGAAATTCTTAAACTTTCTATAATAAAGTTTATAGCTTTCATTTACAGTACGAGACCTTTTGGTCGAGTTTAGTAAAAGCGCAGAGTTAGGTATAAGGTCTAATGTACAATGTAATATATAAGTAATGCTACGCATAGACAAACAAGAATAACAACTTACATTAACATTACATATATCGAAGTAGAATAAAAATATATCTCGGATACAAAAAAGAATAGATCCTCAAAATAATTATCTTTTAAACTGTTCAATCAGTCAATAAATAATGTTTTTAGAAGTTAATAAATCAGCGGACATAGAGATCTGAAATTGATGCTTAAATAATTAAATAGCGTAACCAATGCGCTACGTGTCAAAACTCAAAAAAATAATAATAAGTAATATGATCATTTTAAACAAACTGCCATTTAAAAAACACATTTACATGATTTTATTTAAATACCCGTTATATTATGTACACATTTAATGCTATAAATACTAATTAATTTCCGTATTAACATATTGAAATTCTAAAGTTGATCCATTTTTCTTAATATTTGTGTATGTGTGTATCATTCATCTTTTAGCATGTTGTATAATGGAGTAACTTTTTAGTTAATTCGAAATTTGCATTTTTACGAGCCAATGTAAGCGCCATAAACAAATTCAACAAAAACTACCATGTAAAACTATAGCAAATGGTACAAATAAATAATAACCTTGTCACTGATAAATAAAAGTTACTTTTTTTATTTTCGTTTAACGTCTTCGAATGATTAAATCAACTAATTTTCTCAACGAATTCTTGATGGGTATTCATCATGTCTTTCAATTCTAAGATCTGATTTGTAGTTTAAGGTCGATCCAAGGTTTGACGATGCAATACTAAAAGTGACTATAGAAGGAAGAAGCAATTTTAAGTGATTTATTGCGTCATTTATTACAGGTTTTTGGAGTTTATGTTTCCCTTTTATATAGATTTAATAATGGATCTTTTGTAATCGGATCTATTAATATTAGAAAGTGTATTAAAATATTTTTATACTTCAATAAAATTGCTACTTTTATAACCTGAGAAAGATGTTTCAACACAAAATCCAAACTTTTATATGTATTAAATAGAAAATAAGTATTGGTAATAAAATACAACAAATATTGATTCATATTGATTCATTCATTGATCAGAATTTGTATCGTTATCGTTATCATCATCATCATCATCATCATCATCATCATTTCTCAGTATCTTAAGTACTCAGTTCCTGGATGTATGTCTCCCCAAAGTCTTTTTAATTTTCGTGCTCTAACATTTTTTTGGGTTTATCATCTCTCTTTAATATAGATTTTCGCCATATTCAATTTAATATAGGTATTTAATTGACAACAGCTTGAACTCTTGTGAACTTGTGTGGGAATTCACTTGTTTGTGTTGTTGTCTCTAACGTTAGTTTAAGCCCAAAATAACTTCTCTTTGACTTTGATTAGATATAGATTGATCAGCTTAATGTCATAATTATTGAAAACATTTTTAAAGGTTATACATGCAAGAATATTCAGAACATGCAAAGCAGATATGAGTAATAGACAGTTTGGCTTTCGTAATGACTTCGGAATAGTGGATGTTCTGTATATTTTCACAAGCCTTGCTCAAAAATGTCGAGACCAACAAAAAGATCTTTTCGTCACATTTATTGATTATGAGAAAGCTTTCGACAAAATTAACCATAACATTCTCATGGAATGTCTTAAGCGAAAAGGACTCGACAAAAATGATATTAACATAGTGATTGGAACTATTGGAACCAACAGACTCTGGTAGCATTATATGGAAATAGCACGGATACGTGACAGATAAGTAGAGGTGTGAGACAAGGCTGTGTACTATCACCATTACTATTTAATATATACTCCGAAGAGTTATTTACACAAGCACTTAAAAACCATACAGAAGGGATCAAGATAAATGGTGAAAATATAAAAAACATTCGTAATGTCGACGATACAGTCATTATCGCTGAAAGTGAGAAAGACCTGCAGACGCTACTAAACACAATTTGTGATACTGGGGAATAATTTGGTATAACAATAAACATAAAGAAAACAAAAACCATGGTTATTAGTAAGATCGGTAAGGTCATAACAAGAATCCAGAGAAAAAATGAAAATATTAAACAAGTGGACAAAATCTAGTACTTGGGAATCTGGATTACTGAAGATCTAAATCCAAAATTAGAAATTTAATTAAGATAAAGCAATCAAGAGTAGTCTTTTTGGACTATAAGGAAATTTATGAGTAACCAAAGACTCAATCTGCAAATCGAATATCGGATGGTAAAATATGTTATATTCTATTCTTCTTTATGGTGCCGAAGCTTGGATTATTAATGAGAAAGCTGAAAGCTTTTAAGACGTGAATTTTTACAAGAATTTTCAAAATACCATGGACCAAATAAAATGGTTTTGCACATAATGGGAAGAGACAGAGAACTTTTGACCATCATTAAAACGAAAAAGTACGAGATGCTGCAGCTGATTATGAAGAGTAAAATCAAAGCCAAAAAAGTTTTGATAAGCAACAAATATCCTAGCTGAAAAACATTGGCGACTATACCGGGTTGAACACACAGACGCTTTTAAGCAAAGCAGCAGATAGAGGTAAATTTGCAATGGTTATAGCCAACTTTCATTAGAGGAGTCGGCACTAGAAGAAGAAGAACAATTTTACTGTAAACTTTGTTGGATGATTGAAGCATTGTGTACATAACTTGACTTTTTTGTTATGTGAAAGGAACTATAATTTTAATTTGCAGAAAGCTGTCCGTGTAAGTCTTCGTTTCATTTCCTGTAGTAGTATTGGCTTCTGTAAGGTGAGATTTTGACCTTAATATACGTATTTTTTGGCTAGCTCTAAATTTTCTTGTATTTGCGTTACGTCTTCGTGGCTGGCTAGTATCTATGTTTTCGATGTGTTCATTTTTTATCTTCTCCGTTGACCTTTGTAAGTCACTATCCATTTTTTCTTGTTTGATATTAATAGTATCTCGCCTGAAAATCTTAGCTTTGTCATATGTATTCATATTTATTTTTCTAATTTTCTATTTAAAGTATTGAACATATCTTTCCTATGGTTGTTCATAGTGGGTTTCCTTCTTTCTCCTCATTTCATGAGCCCTTGTCAGGGTATGATGACACTCTAAATATTATTAGCTTGCTGTCTCCATTGTCTGCGATCCTGTGCCATATGGATAGCTTTCATGTAGGGATTTTCCCACCAGAGTCTTCATTTGGTCTTCATCGTGTTGATGATCTTCTTTTTGGTCTTTGGCCTTCTACCTTTCCTTCTACTACCAATAGTTTCATGGTTTCCGTTCTTCTAGCTATATTGCCGAAGTAAATTAGGTATGCTCGGTTTACTTGTTTTATTAACCTGTCTGAATGAAGCTCTTCCAGAATTGACAGGTTGGTTCTATGTTCTGTCCAGGACAGATGTAGAATTATTCTACAGACTTACATTTCGAAGGCTTATATCTTACTCCTATCGATTTTTTTGAGAGTCCCTGTTTCAGCTATCTATGTAGCAATGGTTTCCAGTGTACACTGCGCCCAGAATATATGTTTGATTTTCATTTATACTCTGACATCTAAAACTGCAATCGATTTGTTGTTCTCTATATCCTTTGTAAACTGAATTCCAAAATTTAATAAATTTATGAACTTTAAGAAATTTGTAAAGTTCACCCTTCCCCGTTGGCTCTAGATCACAAAAGTGTTATTGTATATAATAGCAAGCATTTGTCTGATTTTAATGCTTGTTTGATTTTTTCCATAAAAAGGTTTACAATAACCGATCTCAATTCATCTATTTGATGCATTTAAGAAAAGGGGTAATTTCCTAGTTATGTATTCAAAAATATATTAAAAGAAAACTCAAATAAGAGGAAAAAAGTGGCTCGTGTGTCTTGAGGTATATGATATAATAATAAAAACGAACTTCCGATCTATAAAACTTAAGCATCTGACACTATATACCCTTATTAAATGTTACGTATAAATATATTTAAAATTAAATTTTTAACTTTATACACTTACTGTATGCTCCACCAGCACCTCCATATCCACCGCGACCTCCAGCACCGCCGCCGCCTCCTTGATATCCGCCTGCACCTCCTTGGTACCCGCCTCCACTACCTCCTTGATATCCTCCTCCACTACCTCCTTGATACCCTCCTCCAGTACCACCTTGATAGCCTCCTTGACCGGCACCTCCTTGATAACCACCTCCTGCACCACCTTGATAACCACCGCCTGCGCCTCCTTGGCCTCCTTGATATCCACCTCCGGCACCACCTTGATAACCGCCGCCTCCGCCACCGCTTGGGCCTGGCGCTACGGCCCCTGGGTAACCACCTGGTCCACCACCACCTGCGTTACCGCGTCCTGGAGGTAGGTAGTCGAGGCGGGCACATGCTGAAATGCCGATTAAGGCAAGAACCAGGACTGCCTAAAATATTAAACACAGTATTACATATAGAACAATATTATAAGCTTTAAGAAATATTTACTTCAATAAAAAAAAGAAACATTCGAAAAATGTACGGAATACAAGACTTTGAGTTCAAAAAGACCAGATTGGATAACCACCTATACGAACAACAAAAAAAGTACTTACCAGTAAGCGAGGAAACCAAGCAGTACACTTAAGGACACAAGACAAGAAAAACAGTGTTCAAGATCAAAAACTGAGCAAATATCAGCGAGAAAGAAATTAATGAAAAGGTAAAAGCAGCAATTTTAATAGCTTTTAAACCCAGAAAACGAACAAAACCAAGAAAAAGTAATAATTTTTCAGACAGTAAAACACTAGTTGAGGAACCAACATTGAAAGAAAATACATCGGTCATAAATCTCTGAAAAATATCAAAGCGCCTGGCACAGATGGAAAAAACTTCATAGTTGGCAAAGAATGGTGAGCCTGTGCATCAACTAATCTGCCGCATATGAACACTAGAAGTCATTCCAAAGGATTAGAAAGTAGGAATCATATTTGCTACATACAAGGGAGAGATAAAAGACTCTGCGAAAATAATATAGGCATAACAGTACTAAATGTCGCCTAAAAGATATCAGAAATTATATACAGCCCTCCTGAATCATTTTATAAAGAAATAATTGGTGTATTCTAATGTGGTTTCAGACCAAAGAGGTAAACTATGGACCAAATATATATATTAAGAGGCATACATGAAAAAACTGCTGAATATAACATACCAATTTACAACTTGTACGAGTATATTGATTTCAAATAGGAGTTTGATGAAGTAGACATACAAAAAATGTTAAGACAACTATGCATATTAGAATACCAAAAAAGTTAGTTAAACATATACAAATGACTTTGGAGGGTTTCAAAGCTATGGAGAGCATAGATGGAGATAAGACAGAGTCATATAATACTCAAAATGTAGTTAAGGAAGGTGATGCCTTATCAAGAAACGCTTTGAAATTACACCACTATTTCCATAAACTTTTGTTTGTCGATGATCACATAATGTAAGCAGAAGACAAAGATGACATCGTTTTCATTAATTGTGATAAACTGCAATACATGTTCATTGGAAACACTGCAGAAGACTTGGAGATAAATAACAATTCAATAAAACAAACAAATGAATATAAATACTTGGAGGTAACTTTAATAATATAACGATATAATAAATAAAATGAAGAAAGAAATTACACGAACATCACAATTACACTCTATTATTTAAGGCGACGAAATTACAAGTACAATATAAACAAAATATTTAAAACAATAGTAGAAACTTTATGGCTTAGAGTTGTGGGTGATAAGTAAAAAGATGGAAAACAAAATAAATGCAATGAAAATGATGTTTTGGAGAAAAAGCAGCAAGTTAACACTAATGAACTAAGTGAGAAATGAAGAAATTAAAGAACTAACTAATGTGAATGAGACTAAATGACGAAATAGAAAAACGAAAATTTCCTTGATATGGAGGTAATATGCAAAAGATGGACGAAACAAGAATACTGCTGAGATCTTGGAAATTAAAATCAAAGAGAAGAAATAAAAGAGGACGTCTTAGATTACAGTGGAATGAACAAATAAAAAGAGCAATGGAAAAAAGAGACCTAACTGAAGAAGATATATATGACAAGAAGAAATGGTGACTAGGACGTGGTAAACGGCATATAGAAAAAACCACAGATGTGTAAAACCACAGATGTGTAAAACCACGGATAAGTAACTAAAGTAAGTCCGATATGCTGGTGACACGCTAAAATTGGAGGTGGCGCAACAGCAGTACAATTACTATAACATGAATTTAGAAGAATAAAATGAAACAGAAAGGAAAGTGAAAGGTTTCCTGTAAAAACATAAACAGAACATTTAGAATAAACATAATACCTGGGTCAAAATCTATACCAAAAAATTAATATGTGAAGATTTGACATTCGAGTTTATCGAAAACTTATGGAATATGGCTATTGTATGACTAAGAAATATCTACAAACATAGATAATTCAATAAAGAAAAAGAAGACGAGTAAATTAACTAATACAATTTTTTATTTCTTATAGCTTTTCAACCATGCATACTAATGAAAAGCTAAACATATCAGGAAATAAACGTATCCATTATGTACTAAAGATATAGAAGACGTTGAATTGTCTATATTAAATAAAGACTAGTATAATACTTTCCTTGGGCCTTTTTTTTCCTCGGCTAATTCTCAACGTAAAATTGAAGGAAAGAAACATATAGGGCGGAAGAAAATCACCTGGTTGTAAAAATTTACGACAGTTGACAGATTTAACAGCAGACCAATTACTTCACGTAGTCCAGAACGGAATTAATAAGTAAGCAGGTAGTAAAACAGATAATTGAGAAATGCTGTGAGTTTGAACGTGAGCTTAATCAGATGTTCATAGATTTTAAACAGGCATTTGACAGAGTATGCCGGGTTGCTATGGACATCGATGCAAGAACTTGGCTTTAAAAAAAACTAGTCAATTTGATACGGATGTGTATGGAAGGGTTACGGTATGTAGGGTAAGAGTAGGACAACAATACTCAGAGAAGTTTTGAAATAAATCTTGGAATAAAACAGGAAGACACACTTTCACCACAACTCTTTAACTCAAGCTCTGGAACAGATAATCAGAAGTACAAAAATTACAAAACCGACTACAGTATTCCACAAAGAAGAACCAAACTTACTGTTGGCATTTGCACACTATATCGATGTAATAGAAAACACCACAATAAAGATGAAGCAGACTTTCGTCAGGTCCGGGAAAGAAGCAGAGAATATGGGGCTCTTCAATTCTATGGGGCTAATCAATTAAATCTTAATATATGTATATGAACAGCATTAACTGAAATAGACATAGAATCGGACAGAACATCACCATCGATTACTTTAAATTTGAGCGCGTCAGAGAATTTAAGTATCTTGGAACAACAAAGTAAAGACAATAACAACAATAATAAATCTCAAGAAATAAACAGCAGGATACAAGTCGGCAACAGATGTCTTTATGCCTTACAAAACCCAAAAATAGAGAAAACTAAATAGAAGAAAAAGCACATAACCTTTAAAATGCTTAGGAATGACTTTATAAATTAATTGAAGTAGAAATCAACAAATTAAAATATGAATAAAACAGTAGTCCATACTGTTATGACAGCTAGAAAATGTGTCAAAGAAAAATTAAAATTGTGTGTGTGTGTTTTGTTTTATTGGCACTGGTTTTGACAACCAACTGGTCAGTCAATAAAAATTAAAATTAAAAGGTACATAAATACTGTAATCTAATACAGAAGACAATAATAACGAAATATTCCTACCAATATAATGACTCATTTTAATAACGTCAGGAGATTACTACTGAAAGCAACTACCAATAGAACCATCATAAAATGATAGAATGAAAACATTCTACTGGTGTATTGGACAACTTTTATGCTGAATTATGCCCATATAAAAGCAGATAGAAAAGAATAGTTTCCATTACAGCTTCTTATGGATTCTTATATAATATGTAATATTACTCTCCTTAAAGAAATAATATAAAAAAATTAAAAGTTGTTTTAAATGACTATCAAAAATCTTAAGGACAGTCTGTATGGTACAAACTGTCTTCCCCAATGTTTTCTAATAACTAATTGGTTCAACCTATAACACTAAATTGTTCTTACTTGTTGCATGTCACAGTATATCACTCTCACTTCGTAATGATACCGTTTTGGCCGAAAGCTCTTATTATATTATCCAACTCCCACTCGAATCATTCAAAGATGCATTTACACCCATTGCACAAATCATCCTTCGCCGAGGGCTGTTCGGTTCATCATATTGGTATAACGTTTCAAGCTTAATCACTTCATGATTGGTATTGTTTGAGAATCATTAAACCAAAGATTGGCAGATAAGTTTTTTGTTCTGATTTAAAACGGATCGATTGATGAGAAATAAGTGATCTTTCAACTGGCCTGTTGTGAGGCTTTTATGTAAATGTTACTTAATATTTTCACTTCCTCATAATATAAATATTTTTCATAAAACAGTATAAAACACAGCTGATACAGGTAAGAAATTTATCTACAAGGAAATAGGTCACAAATAAAAATCAAACAAGAAAATTAATGGATGCAAATATTTAGGATTTATGGAAAATAATCATCAAAAAGAAAAAAAAACAAATAACAAAATACTCACAATGAGTAAAGTAAAACAATAACTGTAATATTTTTCAACGTAGAATTATTACAATTATCAATATCGTTTAAATATGAAAATAGACGAAAGCCTACTATTTTAAAAACAGAAAAAAGCAAAAAACTATATCTATATTTAAATGCTATGTATTTTCCACTGTCCTCAGGTATCGAGGTGGGAACCCTACCAGAACAATCAATAATAAAATATCAGCCATCGTTGTATAATTTTATCGCAGGATAACAAAGCCTAGGCAAAAAACAAAAAAATCTTTTGATAAGAAATGATAAGTACCGTACTATTCAGGTTTTATGCAAGATGAACTAAAAAATACGCAGCATGTCGAGTAGACGACACGACTATCTTTAGTTGAAAAATATTGAAGAGTGAACTGGCAAAACCGTTGAACTATTTAAAACTGTTTAATGCCGCTGTTAACAAATTTTGAACTAGAATTATCGTTAACATATACTGAGTATATGGTACTACAAGGAGAAAAAGAAATATACTATGTATTTTCCACTCTGCTATGATATCGAGATCGGAACGCTAACAGAACAGACACTAATAAAATATCAGCAAGTGAAGTATAATTTTATCGCAGTATCACAAAGAATAGGTGAAAAGTCCAAAAAATCCTTTAATGGGAAATGGTAAGTACCGCATTCTTTAGATTTTATGCAAAGTGAACTAAAAAACAAGCAGCGTGTCGCGTAGACAACGAATTTAAGTTGAAAAATATTGAACAGTGAACTGGCAAAACCGTGTAACTGTTTAAAACTGTTTAATGCTGCTGTAAACACATTTTGGACTAGAATTATCGTTAACATATTCTGAGTATATGGTACTATAAGGCGAAGAAGAAATATAAAAACCATAAAATAGGTTAAAAACCATAAAAGTCAATATATTAAAATTCTGTGTAGAGCGAATAGCTAGATCATTGATGACAATGGCGCAATACACATATATACACAGATGATAAACACGTAAAAAACTTATTCAAACGAAGTAAGAAAATAAGATCAAGATGAACTCATCTATGTATTGAAGATAATGTAGAAATTTCTTAAACCATATATTTGAACACAGATATATTTAAGTAAATATTATTTTATAATCCTTAGCGAAACATTTTAGCAAGAGTATAATAAATCTGAATATCGACGAAAAAACGGAAACACTACATTGTACGAAAATCTGAAGTGTCTGAATCTGCAGTGCATAGAACAGAACAACATATAGTGGAGATATAAGATATTGAGACAATTATATGTAATACAGTGTAGGCCTAAAAAATAAAAATTACACATTTAATCAAACGATACGTTACAGAAAAACTAGAAAACTATAATTTTTATTTAGTCTCTTATTTCTATTTTTTTATTTACAAAGAATGGGACATTTTTTTACAAAATAACACTTAGAAAAAGTTGTAACCTCTAGAAATTATTAAAATTAAGCAAAATATCGACACATTATGTTTCATGCATGTGCAAAACGAAAATTTCAACCTATGAGAAATTAAGGGACGATAAATGAAAATTTCTTCACTAACATATAGTAAAAAATATGCATTTAACACAAAACAGACAACTTTAAACTCGAAAATTCTCGCAAAGTATTCAAGTCGTATATTGTAGCCCAGTAAAAGCTTATGATCTGAACTGTGAACCAAAGACACAATCAAAATAAGGTTTACAAATATGAAAATTATGTAAATACTACTTGAAAAATATAATATGTAACGTATGGCAAGGGTCTCTTTTCCGCATTCATTTGAAACCAGCATTTGAGAGCATCTTTACGGAAAAGTTTTACCTACTTACCACACATATTACAGCATATATTTTTTAGTTAATATAATAAGCACTTGTCTGTCGGAAATAAAATTAGAATGTGATGTCGGTTTTTGCTCCCGCGCACAGTTCACTCTCAAGCACTTCACTAAGAACAAAAACAATACAATATAAAATAAATAGCTGTCTAAATTAAAAAATGAGATATGTGTGTTCTTACTTGTCTCATGCTGGAGTATATTGCACTCTTGTACAGTGTAATGAGAAGATTTGGCCGAAAGCTTTTATAATATGACTCCCACTGAATTTGACTTAGAAGATGCACTCAGATGCATTGCAGAAATCTTCGCCGATCGCCCTCGAGCGATTTTGTTTATTGTCGGCGTATTTCGAACGCTTAATTACTCTACATATTGTCGAAAAGATTGACATAAATCGGTCGATATTATAGGCCGCCTCTTTGATAAACACAAAAGACAAGACGATTACAGGCACTCCTGCACGATTCTGTAATCAGATAGGTGATATATTACAAGGGTTTTAGTTTTAACTGTGAAAGCTTGTATTTTTTATTTCAGTGTTTAATTTACTTAAATATTTACGTGGCAGATTGTATTTAAACTGTTTAAACTGTCAGAACTGCTCACTTGTTTTTTTGTCCGTATTTTCTAGTTAAAAAATCTCTCTTTATTTTATTTATAATCTTGTTGTATGTTTTGTCCACTCAGTACTTATTTACTTATTCTTTTATGTCCATTCACAAACTCTTTGCCTGAGTTATTTCAATTTTATAAGTATATGGAAACAAAACGCGAAGATAAAATCCTTCATAACCGTTTCGAATTTTAAATCGAAATCGTTGTAATTATTTTAGATAAAAATATATTTATATCATTTAAAAGGCGAACCGGGTAAGTGTGACATATAATTTCTCAACAAATGGTAAAAGTGAAGCTGTATACTACAAATTTAAATGAATCGATTTTATTTTTTATAAAACAGATTCTGTTAAATTAAATTCTGTTGGTTAAATCACAATACATATACAAACTACGAAAATCTATTAATCCATTGGTTAACACTTTACTACTAGCGTTTTCTAGAATACAGAATGTAATATAACAGTCAGGGTAAGCGCAAATAAATTGTAAGTGTCTTCTAACAATTAAAAAATCACAACATAATTTTTACGTGATCCCTTTGGCCGTGATCAAGTTATTTGAGGCGGTCCTTCAAATTTCGCTAGATAAATCGAAATCGTTCATACGTTATCGAAGCATTTTATTAAACGCGACCAACTACTAAATAATTATTACTAACATGGATGAACAACTTTAATTAAAAAAAAAATGAGGAATAGAAAAAATTAAACGAGAAATTATTTTAACAGGACATAGGTATCAAGACGACGCAGAGAGGGATCTTAAAACCGTGAACATCAGGCAGTGGCGAAGGAAAGTATCCGGCAGGGCGGAATGGAAGAACATTGTTAAGCAGGCCAAGACTCACAAAGGGTTGAAGCGCCAATAGAAGAAGAAAAAGAAGAGGTATCAAAACTTACTTCAAACATTAACTGATTATTTCTACCACAGGTAGGTTCGGGGTGAACATTAAACGATATCAATTTCTGCAAAGTCCCTAATATTATTTACTACTGGCAACCTAAATGTCGAAATGGTATTGGAAGCTCTCCTTACTAATTTTATGCTGTATGACCCTCCATCGAAATCCATCTACAACCTGGTCAAAACAGCCCAGTGTCTAGACTAATTGCTAAACTTTTTATATTTACAGACTGAAATCATTCTCTTGTTCTTGTAACTCAAGCTTGTTTTAAGATCAATCTCACTGGAATCAAATATTTTATCTCACTCTTCTTCTGATTCGTCAATTATTGGCTTGCATGACTTTGGCTTTTTTCTACTTTGGATATATTAACTGGTTTGAGATTTGCTTCTTTATTTTTCTTAACCTTTACATTATTGTTTGAATCTGTTTATTGTCTCAACCAAAGTAATTACCTCTGCTCCAAAACAGACACGTTTTCTTTTCAAAAGGTTTGTTGTTTAATAGTCTTCAATAATATATCTTTAAAACTTCTCAAACCGAATAGACTTTCGTGTGTAGTTTCTGGTTTAAATTCATTTCTTGTGTTTGCCTGATGTAAACATGGTTTTGCGTATTTGGACTCTGCTACGCTTCTCTTTTTATCATAAATTGGAGTTAAGGTAATGGTAATTTGAACAGAAATGTTCACCATGTCTGATTGATTGTCTTCGACTTATCCACCGCTAATAAATTCGAGGCCTAAATAAATCCTTGTGGATAAATTTGATAATTAAACGGGACTATACCAGCTTTTTAAAACCATTTCTTATGATAGCGGAATCGGTTTCAGTCTATATGTTACATGCTACAGCGAAAAACACCCATTTTGGAAGTTTTTTATCCATCATTTTGCCTTTGCCACTTCGCGAGGTGTTGATCCCTTTTTTCTTTTTAACGATCTAAATACGCAAAGATCCAGAGGTTGCAAATGTGATTAATGTGATGGAAAGCTTTAGGATTAAAAAACTTTTTTCAAAATAATTCCTAAATGTATCATAACTCCATTTAGCCATTTTTTGTCGTAGCGTGGACTATTCCTGTAAATTCTTGATCGCTAGAAGCTATCCACGAATCCCGAACATGTTTTCCACGGAAAACAATTGAGTAGTTTTTGTTCATCTGCATTACACACCATTAAAATAGTGACGCTATCTTCCGGCCCTTCGATTAAAATAGTGAGTAGGAAATCCGTTCGGTGCCTGAAATCTTGTTCTAAATAAAATGTATTTGAGAGTGTGTCAAGCTCTTTAACAGTTCCAGTAGAGTGTTCCTCTAGCTCAGCTATAAGCGAAATTAAGTATTGTGGTACGCTTACTTCCTTTTAGTACCTACCTTAAGTGTTGCCATTTGACCCTCTCGACGAGAGGTCATTTGCCCTCTCGACATTTTACGATAATATGTCAAACAAATGTATGGTGGAATATTGACCTTCTTGAATTTTTCTATTATTTGTCTCATGTTCAGAAGATGTTCTCGAGTACATTTACCTTTGGTAAATCTAGTTTGCTCTTGGGGTATTTCTCTTTGTAGAAAGTTTGCTGGGCTTTGTAAAAAGTATGCTTGGCATTTTAGTATTGATTGTGGCCACCATTGGACTTTGTCCAATATTTCTTAAGTTTATCTTTTTTGGTCACATCACTAATCCATTTAAGCATTTTTATTTGGCACATGCATTCGTTGTTCTTCTTACTTTTAACTGCCCATAATTATTTATGTACGTAATACCTGGTCTTATAGCAATTATTCTTTCAGTGTCATTGAAATATTTTTGTTATAAAACACACCGCTCATCTGCTTTCATTTTATCCATCCCGCTCTAACACTACTGCAATCCTATTTGTTTATTTTTCCATTAACCTTAATTACCAGATATTTCAAATAATTACTTTTCACAATTATTTCACCCTCCACAGTTATCTTATTTGTTGTAGAAGAAGCTTCATCTTTCACTGAATATACTAGATATTATGTTTTTTTTTCTGATAAGTTTAAATCATCTTCTTCAAGATCTTGTCTTACCACCATTCAATATTATCCTTTAGTTTGACAGTTATCTGATGCAACAATAATAAAAATATAAATAAGAAATAAGCACTGAGCCCTAATGTATTACTTTCACATATACATATTATACTATATATATATATATATATATATATATATATATATATATATATATATATATATATATTATATATATATATATATATATATATATAAGTCTTCCCCACACATGGTCTAACAGTAGTTGGCTCTCCATCATACATATCTCTCACAATCTTGTGATAAACACAGAATCTTTCATTCCACCCTATCATACGTTTTGTCAAGATCAATGAATACCGTAAGTTAGTTTATTTTCTTGTTCCTACATTTTCCTTAGATTTACATCACTAGATCATATTAGCATTCGGTATTACCGATTTAGACATACAACTAGTGTTATACTATGAATTTCGGTTAGATAATTGACAGCTGTTTGCATGTGAAGTAGTTTTTAGATTATACTAGTTAAGTATTTAATCAGACAAAGTTGAGATATATTAGGATACAAAAGTATTTAACAAACTTAGAAGAGTGGAGATAAGCTTCTAAAAAAAAAAGGTTTAATTTGAGTAGCTTATGAAGTACCAAACCATAGTATCTAAATTGCTCATTTAAAGATCTGATAGTACTACAGATCAGAAAATAACTTTTGAGGATAAAAGTATTAATTCGCGCCTTATCTAGGTGTTGCAGTTTCGCAACTGTACATAAACATGTGACAGACTCTTTTTAGTTTTGATTGGCCTGACAGTTTGTTTGATTACAAGTGTTAATCAACCAATGAGTGTTGATATATACAATGTTGTGAACAAAGAACCATAGAGGAATAAGTGTCTTTCGTTAAAATTTGAGATCGTTTGGGTAATTATACTTGGACTTACTGACAACCGCCTTTGTCAGTAAGACATATTTCATCTACTAGACAAAACAATCGTGTCTTTGTTAAGGAGTAGCGGCCCAGTACGTAATGGCCGATACTTTTGTGATTGCTCTATGCTGAAAAAGACATAGTTTTCGGTAGCTATTGCTATCATTCCATTGATGTAAAATACAACCCATACTATTTGTTGCCAAAATTAAATTGTCCTAATGTCGAGTATGGTTTTATACTATGTATATATATATTTATTGTTGTGAATTTATATTATGCTAAATTGCTTTTTCATATTGTATGGTGATTTGAACTTTTAAATGAAAATTTTACGTTTATAGAAATATTAATTTTAGCGTATTTACGTATAGTATAATTGTAATTTTTTTACCATTAGTTAATATGTTTATCTATATACATTTTTATAATATATACAAAAGTATTCTATTGCCTTGTGACTCTAATCTTTCCTGAAGTTTCATATGCTAACATACTCCTGTTACGATTTCATCTATTTTTTTACGTTAATTCATTTACCTTTAAAAGCATTTCACGTTAGAAATTATTACTGATTATTTTATCTTTGTCACACGTATTTTTGTTTGTAGATATCTAGGATTGGTTAAAATTAAATGTATGTATGTTATTTGTTTATATGTGAAGCAAATTATCGCAGAGGCCTTAAAATCAACATTTCAAAGACAAAGTGGATGGCAGATTG